GACTCCTGACTGCGCTTGAGTTGTTCTAAAACCTTTTTCACCCAGTGAAATTGGAGAAATATTAAGTTTTCCTAAAAAATTCCTGTAGAAATTAATAATTTTAAATGTGAACATGACCGTGAAAATACAACAGTGCATTGCAAAGCTCAGAAAAATCCTTTACTACTAAACTTTTCACCAGTATAGAGCTTCGCTGATGATGTTAGCTCTAACTTTTACAAAGTGTGTCCCCCTCCAACAAGATCAAGGGGAATACATCTTCTTACCGAGTGGAGAGCAAGCCACATGCTAACCAGATAGAACTCTTTTCTGAGGTGGAGACACAGAGCACTTCATGTCCTTCTGTAGCATGTCCAGGCTTTGCCCTACTTGTGGCCTGTAACAAGTCTGTTTATGGTACATTACTTATCTTAATTTGAAAACACTTTGGAGGGAAAGAATGGCACAGTGAGGTTCAGATAATTTACATTGAGGCTAGGGACTCTTGGGCTGGCCATCTGGTCTTTTGTACTTCAATAACTTCCTTGTACACTTACAGGAGACTGTGGTAGGTGTGATGCTTTCTGGGTTGGTTCCACTAAACATTTATGTAGTGCTTCCTGTGTGTTTGGCAGTTTTCTAGGAGTGAGGAAGCAGAGGGAATGTGCAGTTTGGCTGTGGACATATGTGCGTTCTTGAAAACCTTAGAAAATACAGCATTGCTGCTCATTTCTTCAGAAAATGACAGAAAGACAAAGAATAGAACTGGTCAAACCTAGAAGTCTTCATGATAGATGTTATTTCAGCTAAATACTGAAGGAAGGTTCAAGTAGGAAAGCCAGATGGTAGAAAGACTATATACGTCCAGAGTCATGTATAGTAACTAGACTGAAGTGTGCTTGGAGAGTGCAGATGAAATTATTAATATGTAGAGCCATTATAACTCGTGATTTATTTGAACATCACTGGCAAGGAAAACTGGAGGCTCAGATACAGTTTCCTGCAGGGAGGCATAGCCCATTGCTCTTCACTTAGGTGGCTCGCCTACCTAAGCCAGCCACACGCTTCCATATAATACCACAATGAGTGCTGCACACCAACTCTATCCTGGAGAAAGGACAAGGTTATGGCACCAAGGGTATTTATTACCCAAAAGAGCTAAGAGCAATGATTGGAATGCTAAACATGAGCCAAATCCCCATCATTCATTAACAATATTCAAAGCTAAAGGATTCAAGAATGCATACCAGTTCTAGAAGAAAGAACTCACACCATGGGGATGAAATCAAGGACTAAATGTTTGGTCTAAGGTGGCATGACACTTGATCAACAGACAAAGTCCTGGAATCTGGTACTGGAATATTGAACCAACCTTCCTCCCTCCCTTCCCTTTCTCTTTTCCCTCCCCTACCTTCCTTCTTTTTCCCTTCTTTCCTTGCCAATATGCTATATTATTATTATTTGCAAAAGCCTATTTATTTTTATTTATCACATAGCAGTCATACACATTTATAAGGTAAGGTGAGCCTTTCAATAGTTATTCAATGTATCAGGATCAGAACCATGTAGCAAACATATCTGCCACCTCAGATGTGTGTCTTTTTGTTTTGGGACTAGAATATTCTTTCTGAGCCATGTGGAACTGTGACTTTCTTCTTATTTATAGTTATGCTACAGAACTTCAGAAGTCATTCTTATCCGCTTGCACCCTGTGCTGTTGAACAGCATGGCATCTCTTCAGGGATTCCTTGGGCATGTATTTCCTAGGCTCTGGTGATGGTCCAGTTCCCTAGGAGCAATGATTTTGCCTCTCTGCATGTGTATTAAGCTAAGCATATCAGTCTTCTCTGGTCGCTTATTTCCCTTAGGGCAGTGTCCTCCAGTTCTACTGATGGTGCTGCAAATAACAGCATCTCAACTCATTTTTATTCCTGAAAAGATGTTCCATTGGCTTCAGTTTCTCTAGGTAGATATGCAAAGGGCAAGTACTAGGTCATAAGTAGTTTGTATTTCTGACTCTGTAAAAGAAGATCCATGCTGCTCTCCACAATCTAAGCAGTTCCTGTTTATGCATACCCATACCAGAAATTGTTCCCCTTATTTCCAGTAGTTGTTCTAAATGGGGTTTAATTACTGAGATTGGAATGTGTATTTGTGTGATAATTTGTCACTCTGAACATTTTTTTCATAGTTTTTCTGGTTACTTGTATATTTTCTTTTTGAGAAATGTATAATAAAGCCATTTGACCATTTTACGGACTTTTTACAAATGGTGTTTGTTCATTTGTTTTATTTTGTTAGATCATCAATTTTGTCTAATTTGGTTTTAATGTTTAGTTGTTTGATCCTGTTATATATTCTGGAAGTAGATTTTTAGCTGGATGAATAATTTAAAAATATTTTCTCCCCTTCTGAAGGTTTTGTCTTAACTTTTCTGTTCCTATTGCTAGAAATAAAGATGTAGTGTTGTCATTCAATTTTTGTTTTTTGTATGTTGGGAGGTTCTGATCTATCTATCATCTATCTCTCTAGCTATCTATCTATCATCTATATATCTTTGGCCTGACATTATCTTAAGTATTTCCTCTACATTGTCTCATAATGGATTTATAATTTTGAGTTGTGCCCTTGAGTCTTTGATCCTTTTGGAGTTGATATGTATACTTTCTTATTTTCTGTAAGTACATAAAATAACCATGTCAATTAACAACTAGTAAGATATTAAAAAGCAGCATGTAAAGAAGATTTTGAGTGAAATCAGCTATATCAGAGGTGATGCATATCTCGGCTACCCTGGCTGTTATATGTCGCTTTTCTTCCCCTGTGCAAATAGATAACCAGTTTCTTCCGTACTGTTTATATAAGAGGTATTACTTTTTTCTTTTTTTCTTTTTTTTGTTTGTTTGTTTTTGTTGTTGTTTTATTATTATTTTATTTAATTTTATATAACATAGTTCAATTAAATGAAAACAAACATTTATACACAATATTTGGGAATTTGGGCGTCGTTCTTTCCAAACTACTTCCTGCTGGTAAGGGGCGCTGTCATGGGGGATTCGAAGAAGATTCAGATATCCTGGCTGTAGTCTGTAGGGCTGTTTTGTCCAGCTGTTTTGAATGTAGGATCACCTTGTACTCTATTTCAGGCGGTCTGGCGTGATCAAACCACATTAGTCTGGAAGGAATCCACATCTTTTCATTTTCTGTGGGAGGTATTACTTTTTTCAATGCATGTACTTGCTGCTGCTTGGAGATCAGCTGATTTTTTTTTTCTTGGTTTGCTTTCCTATTGCTATAAAAAAAATACCCTGGTGAAAGTGACTTAAATGCAAGAATCTATTTGTGATCACAGTTTGGAGGGCAGCCCATGGTGGTGGGAATTCAAAGTAGCAGGGACTTGATAGGGTCAGCCACAGTTATATCCATAAACAGAAAGACGAGAGTAGCTAATGTCAGTGTCCAGTTCACTTTCTCATTTTTATACAGTAGGGGACTTGAGCCCTGGGCAGGGGACTTGCTCTAGTGTAGGTTTTTCCACTTCAGTGAACCTGATCAACACACTCCCTTACAGGCATTTCTAGAGGTTAAACTCCCTGTGCCTGGACCTGTTTCCTGATTCCTGATTCCAGATCATGTTCGGCTGACAGTTAACACTTAATATCACAGCTACCAATGTGAATGGATATGGATGTGTTCATAGCTCTGTGTAGGTGTGTGCATTGATGCAGCTTTTCAGTTACTGGATGTAAGTTTTGAGGTCAGGTATAATGCCTCTGCTATTCCTTCTCTTCTGGGTACTTCTGGGTATTCGTTTCCTCTAGGTTTAAATAACTGCATATGAAAAGATAAAGATATAAAAGTAGACATATTTATATATTTATGCCTCTTCAGTTTTTTGAGTCTTGAAATTTTATTTTATCTATTTATCTATTTATCTAAAGGCACTTATTGTTTACATTTACAGCTTTGAATTCCACATCATGCTTTTTTGTAAAAGCTAAAGTTGGGCAATGGTGCCTTGTGCTTGCATCCACCTTAATGTTATGATGTCACAGATTCATAATTGTCTGACTATTTTCTAAACTTTGAGACTTTATATGTATCAAATGAAATTTTAAACATTTTTTTTTTACCAAAAAATAACTCCTATAAGTGTTTAAGACACCTAGGAGTTGAATGTGTTCTTTTTTAAAAACAAATTTTTTAATTTAAATTAGAAACAATCTTATTTTACATATCAATCCCAGTTCCCTCTCCCTCCTGTAATTCCAAGCCCCCCACATTGACCCTCCTCCCATCCCACCCTCCCATCCACTCCCCAGGGAGAGGGAGGCTTTCCATGGGGGTTCATCAAAGTCTGTCACAACATTTGGGGAAGGGCCTAGGCCCTCCCCTGTGTGTCTAGGCTGAGAAAATATCCCACTATGGGGTTCCCAAAGACCATTCATACACTAGGTATGAATGCTATTCCATTACCAGGGGCCCCATAGACTGCCCAGGCCTCCTGACACCCATGTGTAGGGGGCCTCGTTCTGTCCTATGCTGGCTTCCAAGCTGTCAATCTGGGGTCCATAAGCTCCTTCTTGTTCAGGTTCACTGTTTCTGTGGGTTTCTCCAGCATGGTCTTGAACCATCTACTCATCACTTTTCCCTCTCTACAACTGGATTCCATGAATTCAGCTCAGTGCTTAGCTGTGGGTATCTGCTTCTGTTTCCATCAAGTACTGGCTGAAGGCTCTAGGATGGGATATAAGGTAGCCATCAATCTCATTATAGGGGAATGGAATTTAAGATAGCTTCTCTCCTATTGCTTAGATTCTTTTTTTTTTTTTTTTTTTTTTTTGGACAGGTGCAGTGAACTTGATTGATGGTACTCAAGAGAGCAGGGCTCCCTACGCCCCTTAATTCTGAGGGTCTGGGATGGAGGATGTGAGGGAGATTAGTGTCGGGGGTTGTTGGGAAGTGACTGCTCAGCAGCCAGGGCCTCTCTCTTGATCATGTCCTTGTTGGTGGTGGATGGTCTAGGATGGGCTCTTACTCCTTGGAGGCCATGAAGGCCACCACCTGTTGCTGTAGCCAAATTCATTGTCATACCAGGAAATGAGCTTTATGAAGTTGTCATTGAGAGCGATGCCAGCCCCAACGTCAAAGGTGGAAGAATGGGAGTCAGTGTTGAAGTCGCAGGAGACAACCTGGTCCTCGGTGTAGCCCAGGATGCCCTTCAGTGGGCCCTCGGACTTCTTGATGACGTCATACTTGGCAGCTTTCTCCAGGCGGCATGTCAGATCCACCACAGACACATTTGGTGTAGTAACACAGAAGGCTAACACAGAAGGCTATGACAGTGAGCTTCCCGTTCAGCTCTGAGATGATCGTGCCCACAGCCTTGGCAGCACCAGTGGATGCTTCCAGGAGGGGCCATTCACAGTCTTCTGGGTGGCAGTGATGGCATGGAATGTGGTCATGATTCCTTCCACAATGTTAAAGTTGTCATGGATGACCTTGGCCAGGGGGGCTAAGCAGTTGGTAGTGCAGGAAGCGTTACTGACAATCTTGAAGGAGTTGTCATAGTTCTCATGGTTCACACCCATCATAAACATGGGGGCATCAGCAGAAGGGACAGAGATGGTGACCCCTTTGGCCCCACCCTTCAAATGGGCCCCAGCCTTCTCCATGGTGGTGAAGATGCCAGTAGACTCCACAACATACTCAGCGCCAGCATCACCCCATTTGATGTTGGGGGGATCTCGCTTCTGGAAGATAGTGATAGCCTTCCCGTTGATGACAAGCTTCCCATTCTCAGCCTTGACTGTGCCCTTGAACTTGCCATGGGTAGAGTCATACTGGAACATATAGACCATGTAGTTGAGGTCAATGAAGGGGTCACTGATGGCAATAATGTCCACGTTGCCAGAATTGATGGCAGCCCTAGTAACCAGGCGTCCAATACGGCCAAATCTGTTTACTCTGACCTTCATCATTGTGTCTCAGAAATGAGGCTGGCACTGCACAAAAAGATGTGGCTGTCTCTAGAACATGGAGGAGCAGAGAGCCTCACTTAGATTCTTAGTTGGGGTAATTTTTGTAGATCTCTGGACATTTCCCTATTGCCAGATTTCTCTTTAAACCTACAATGGCTCCCTCTATTATGGTAAATCTTTTCTTGCTCTCCTCTACTCTTCCTCAGACTCAATCTTCCTGATCCCTCATGTTCTCCTCCTTACTCCTCCTCTTCTCTTTTTCCTACCTCCTTTCTGCCTCTCCCTCCCCCAAGCTCCCAATTTGTTCAGGAGCTCTTGTCCCTTTCCCCTTCTCCAGGGGACCATGCATGTCTCTCTTAGGATCTTCCTTGTTTTCTAGCTTCTCTGAAGGTGTGGATTGTAGGATGGTAATCTTTTGCTCTATGTCTAATATCCATATATGAGTGAGTACATACCATGTTTGTCTTTTTTTTTTTTTTGTGACTGGGTTACCTCTTCACTCAGGATGGTTTCTTCTAGTTCTATCCATTTGCCTGTGAATTACAAGATTTCATTGTTTTGGTTTTTTTTCCCTCTAAGTAATACTCCACTGTATAAACATACTACATTTTCTTTATCCATTATTCAGTTGAGGGGCATCTGGGTTGCTTCCAGGTTCTGGCTATTACAACTAATGCTGCTATGAACATAGTTGAACAGATGTCCTTGTTCTTTTGGGTATATGCCTAAGAGTGGAATGACTGGACCTTGAGGTTTACTGATTCCCATTTTCCTGAGGAACCACCATACTGATTTCCAAAGTAGCTGTACAAGTTTGGACTCCCACCAACAATGGAGGAGTGTTCCCCTTTCTCTAATGTATTCTTAATACCAGTAGTGTTCAAAGCACGGTTTAGTAGGGACCCACATCTGTAGCCCCAGCATTTGTGAAGTAAAGTCAGAAGGATCAAGAGTCAAGGCTAGCCTTGGCTACATACCAAGGTTCAAACTAGCCAAGTCTTTAGAGTGAAATGTACTGTAAATAATACCTCCCAAAATTCTCACTTTCAACATTTTAATTGAATTATATATATTTTATGTGTTATGTGTATTTAATTTATATTTATGTATTCTGTCCTGTGTTATATCTAAATACATTTTAAGCAGGTATATTATTTATTTCTCTAGGTGATGGTAAAAATAAAAGAAGTTTAATTCTACTTTCAGATGATGAAACTGAATTTTAACAAGGTGAAACAACCTGAGGAGTTCAACTCAGTTCTTAGCTGGACCTTGGAACCACATCTTTTGCTTCCAGGATCCTGGGTTTTCAAAGACATTAGATACTTCTTTGGTCTCCCTGTGAAACTCTGGGAACTAATAAAAGCCTTTCCATGCCCCCCTTCTGGAAAGTGCATGTTTCTCAAGAGGTCTCAAATGATTGTCTAACACCCCAAAGCATTGGGAGCCCTCTCCCCGGAGACTCTTGATTCACAATTACCGTTTTTCTACCTCCATCATCTTTCTGGCTGACGTGGCCACGCTCCTTCTTCCACAGGCATACTCAAGCTATTGAAAAAATCATATTTCATATTTCATACTCTTGGAAATCATAAGGCATTTTTTGCATACTCAAGCTATTGAAAAAATCATATTTCATATTTCATACTCTTGGAAATCATAAGGCATTTCAAAGTGGAGCCTAATATTCACTTTTCTTTTTTCATATACCTTTCAAATGTTGCCATTTCTGGAACCCGACTTAAAACTGTGTGGACTTGGAAACAGCAGAAGCATGTCTATAAAGCAGATACAAATATGGCAGCATAAATGTTTGTGTTTATAAAGGCTGTATCAGTACCACCAGATGCTGCAGAGTTCCCCAGAGTTATGACTTTGGTATAAAGTAACAAGGGCAATAATCTGCAATAAAATGAATTGCCTATTAAACTGATAAATTAAGTGCAAGCTCCTCCTTCTGATACTTAAAAGCCCCGGAGCAGGCAACTCACCCTCTCATTAGACCATTTCCCCTGCAGCCCCAATATGTTCCAGCTAATGTGGATTATCTGCTTCATTTCAAACATGCCCTTTGTGCTCGCACTGTTGGTTTTTATTCCCGTTGATCCTTTGTCCTGGCAGGGTAACAGATAGGTTATTAATGAGAACTGGCATTCATACAATCACCTCTCCATTCATTATTTTAACCCTTTTCCACCTCATGAATGATTATAAAAAGAAAAGAAAAGAAAGTCATGGGAGAAATGCCACATTGTTAGAAAAGCAGAAATCTTGGATTTAAATATATGTTTAAAATTTCACCATACTTGAATGGGGGAGCATGCCAGTGTTGATTAGGGCTGGCAGGGTAATGTTCAGCAGCCTGGAACTCATGCAAGCTCTGTCACTGAAAATCCCACCCAGCTGTATGATAGTCCTGGCTCTTAGTAACAATAAGATGTTGGAGATGGAGAACAGTTCATTTTCTGGATTGGACCTCCTTGAAAGATCTCCATGGTTCATGATGCCACTGGAGGCTATGCTGTTATCTGTATTCTGGACTACAGCCTAGGTGTGTCAGTGGTATGTGCTCCTGCCCGAGCCCATGTTGATGCCCAGGGTCCTTGTGGATGTATGTGGTCTGTGCTACCACTAGAGTCTATGTTGATGTTTGTGGTCTTGCTGTGGCTGGGGGACATGCTGATGTCTATGTCCTGTGTTACCACTGAAGGCTCTGTGGATGTCAGAGGTCTGTGCTGCTGCCTGAATCCATGTAGATGTCCCTGGGCCATTTTGCCACCAGAAGCCATGTTGATTTCTTTGGTCTGTGATGCTTAGAGCACCAGGATGGTGTCTTCTGTGCTGTGGCAGAAAGCCATGTTGATGTCCACGGTTTGCACTGCCTCTGATCCATGGTCCTTGCTAACCCCTGAGGCCATGTGAATGTCCATAGTCTGTACTGTCACTGTAAACCATGTGAAAGCCCATGATTTGTGCTGCAACTAACTGCAAAGGGTAAGAAAGCTTTTCTGCAGTGGTATCAATGACTGTTGAAAATGAGAGACAAAGATTTCTGTGACAGCTTCTACACCTGATCCCCACCTCCAAGAAAACTAGTGATGGGGATGCTGGAGTGTAACTCTTCATAGTTGATGGCTTCTGGAGGGGGTTTTATTGGGAGTGAGAGGGGCACTCACTTTTCTTTAAGGGTCTGGCTACTGAGAGTTTGACCATGCTCCACTGAGTACATGGGCAACAGAAAATGGTCTGGGTATTTTTTCTTTCTTCTTCTTTTTTTCCCTCTGGGAGTAAGTCACAAGGGTGTGGGGTAGACCTTGGAGGACTGAGACCACATGGAAATACTTAGATTAATAGAAATGGGTTAATAATTAAGACAGAGCTAGCCGGTAAGAAACTAGCATTATATCAAATACAGTGTCTCTGTGTGTTAATTGGGGCTGGCGCCATGGTGGGTCCAGGCTGACAGGGAAAATCTACTCACAACATTATGGCACCACAATGTGGCAAATAATAACTTCCACTTAAAACTAAGAAAACCTAAAGAAATTGTTTAAGAAATAAAAGAACAAAGACAATCAAGGCTTCTTGATAGCAGCATATTTCTCAGTTGAACTCTGTTTTGCTAGAGACAAGCAGAGACTTGCGCAGCTCCTTTAAGGGAGATTTCCTGACTCAGCATAAGTGGCAAAAAATCACAAGGCTTTGCTAGCAACTGAATGGTGTGTACAAGAGCTGGCAATGGCACTGACCACATCTTCAAGCCGACAGCAGGCTTCTGGGTGCAGCATAGACCAAGGCAATGAGCACAGCTCTCAGTTCTGGTGGTAAAATACCCACCACTATTTTGGATAGACCGCGGCTAACACAGCTATGACTTTCATTTTAGCAATGTTGTTCTTTACCAGATAAAGACTCGTGGCCAGAAAAAGAAAAAGATTTACAGTAAAGACAGATTCACATTAAGAAAAAGCACTAAAGGTTTACAGTGTTTTCTAAAATATATGTAGGCTTGGGAGAGAAAAGGAATTCAATGGTTTTAAAAAGACAGCAAGGAGTTGGGTGTGGTGGCTCATGCCTTTAATCCCAGCACTCGGGAGACAGAGGCAAGCAGATCTCCATGATTGCAAAGTAAACCTGGTATGCAGAATGAATTCCAAGACAGGTAAAAGTTACACAGAGAAACTCTGTCTCAAAAAATGAAAAAATAAAAAGTAAAAGAAACAGAGTAATAAAAAAGCCACGTAAAAATGGAGAAAATCTGGATACTATACGGTATTATATTGTCTTTGTATCATTTGCCTGCTGAGGAAATAACAACACCTGTTAAAACAAATGCTGCTGAATCAATCCAATTTATTGACTTTAAAATTTAAGTCTAAGGACAAGTTACTTGGGGAAAAGGATTTCTATTTTTATTTCCACAGAAAATGAAAAGCTGTGGATTCCTTCCAGACTAACATGGTTTGATCAAGCCAGACCCCCTGAAACAGAATTCCTGGTAATCTAACATTCAAAACAGCTTGAATAAGGCAGCCTTGCAGACTACATCCAGGGTTTCTGCATTTTCTTAGGACCCCCATGAAAGTGCCCCCTATCAGTAAGAAGCAGTTTGGAAAGAACAACGCCCAAATTCCTAAATATTGTTTATAAATGTTTGTTTTCATTTAAATGGGGTTGGTTATAAATCGTTAATGACCACAACCAATCTCTTTTTAAAGGTAAAAAAGAGGATTATAGTATAGATATGAATACTTTGTTTTGGAATGGATTTTCATTTATTGATACAATTTAAGGTCAATTTTGTGATATGTATATTTCTCCTCTTGTTTAGGTATTGTGTAGAAATGTAATGTCTAATTCAATACAGATTATAGATAGTACCTATGATCTTATAGTCAGATCTTATAGTTAAGTTAGTTAAGATTTCTAGATATATAGAGATGTATTTGAGATGGATAGGCATTCTTCAAACCTTTCAAAAACCTACAGAATATGGCATT